TTTACACACTTATAGATTTGTGTGATTGTTACTACAGTCAGAATACAGAAGAGTTCCATCACCCCCTTGATTTCCTGTGCTACCCTTATACAGTCATATCCTCCCCTTACCTAACTCCTGGCATCTACCATGATCATGTCACCATCAGTGTACTTGTCTCTTTTTTGAGAATGTCATATAAATGGAATCATACAGTACTGTGGTAGACACACTGTAAGTTACCCATCCCCTTGTATAATTCCCTCAGCCTAAGTGTGGGCAAGACCTGTGACTTGTTTCTAATAAATAGAATTTGGCTAAAATGATGGGATGCCACTCACTGATATAGTTGCATTATGTTATGTAGGACTAATTTATGTTAAATTAGATACAGAGCCAAGTATAGTATTCTCTAAGTTTCAGTGACTCCTAGTACATAACTATTGCAAATTAATTAATTCACCATTCATCCAATACACATTTATAGAGCATTTATAATAGAGTAAGTACATTGTATCATAATGATTAAGAGCATGGGCTCTGGAGTCAAGTACCTATCAAATTTATTAACCTCTTTAATGCCTCATCTACAAAATGGGAATATTCATAATACCTATCCAACAAGATTTTATAAGTATCAGAGGATGATGTAAAGAGAGCACTTGGTACAATGCCTAACACACAGCATGGAACACTTTTGGCTTCTGTTGTTGTCATTAGTATTAATGATATTACCGTTGGTATGCAGAACGAATCAGTTATGGAGGTTATCTTCCATAAAGTAATCATGTGATTATTCAATGAGGTAATACGTGAAGTGCTTGGAAGAGTGCCTGGCACATAGAAAAACATTTATAGATATTATTATATCTATAATATTTCTCTTCATTAAAATAATCATATTGGCATTTTTATTGGTTAACATTCTTCTCCCACTACTTCTAAAAAAGAGGAAAATATAAAATATTATATAAGGAATTTATGTTTTCCTTAGCATTTTGTTTGGAAAATAGTGAAGTGAGGTGGTGTACCATTTACTGGTTTATCTACAATATAGAAATAAAATAAAATAAATATAAGGAACTATAGTTTTAATGTAATGACAGCACTTTATGTGCCTTTGTTTTTTTTCAAACATGTGAAATGAGAAAATAGAATGAGAAATATTAAATAATAAAATATAGAATTTAATATATCTCTTCACTTAACTAAAGCCATATTTTACACTGGCCTAATAATCCTCTTGAAAATATATAGTTATAATTTGAAAGCTTTGAAAAGATTATTTCTGTAATAAGAATGATACTTTTCTGGTGATTGTAAGATCAACTATTTTGTTCTAGAAGAGAGACTAGAATGCACAGTGACTTATGTAGGTTTGAAGTTTACTGTTCTACTAAGTTAAAGTGATTGGAATGAGGCAGTCCCTTTATTCAGGGGTTCAGGTACTTCTACCTTTGATGAGTTACATTCTTTTTAAGTATATTAAGTATATTGATTATGATATTACACTTGGCCCATTTTTCTCTCCTTTATCCCCACTCTGACCTGCACCCTGCCACCCTCCAATATTCTCCCCCCTTTAGTTCATGTCTATTGGTTGTACATACATGTTATTTGGCTTCTCTATTTCCCATACTATTCTTAACCTACCCCTGCCTATTTTATGCCTACCAATTACCCTTCTTATTCCCTGTACCTTCCCCTCCCTATTCTGTTTCTCCCTCCCCACTGATAACCGTCCATGTGGTCTCCATTTAGGTGACTCTGTTCTTGTTCTAGTTGTTTGCTTAGTTTTTGCTTTTTAGGTTCAGTTGGTGATAGTTATGAGTTTGTTGTCATTTTTGTGTTCATAGTTTTTGATCTTCTATATTTCTTAAAGTTCCTTTAACATTTCACATAGTAAGGACTTGGTAATGATGAACTCCTTTAACTTTACATTAGCTTGGAAGCACTTTATCTGCCCTTCCATTCTAAATGATAGCTTTACTGGGTAGAATAATCTTGGATGTGGGTCCTTGCCTTTCATGACTTTGAGTACTTCTTTCCAGCCCCTTGCCTGTAAGGTTTCTTTTGAGAAATCAGCTGATAGTTTTATGGACACTCCTTTGCAGGTAACTGTCTCCTTTTCTCTTGATGCTTTTAAGATTCTCTCCTTATCTTTAATGCTGGGTAATGTAATTATGATGTGCCTTGGTGTGTTCCTCCTTGGGTCCAATTTCTTTGGGACTCTCTGGGCTTCCTGAACTTCCTGAAAGTCTTATTTCCTTTGCCAGATTGGGGAAGTTTTCCTTCATTATTTGTTCAAATAAGTTTTCAATATCTTGCTTTTTTTCTTCTCCTTTCAGCACCCCTATACTTCAGATGTTGGAACATTTAAAGTTGTCCCAGAGGTTCCTAAGCTTCTCTTCATTTTTTTTTGTGCATTCTTGTTTCTTTATTCTGTTCCAGTTAGATGTTTATTTCTTCCTTTTGTTACAAGTCATTGATTTGAGTCTCTGTTTCCTTTCCTTGACTGTTATTCCCCTGTATATTTTCCTTATTTCTCCTTGTATAGACTTCATTTCTTTCTTCATTTTGTGACCAAGCTTAGTCAATTCTGTGAGTATCCTGATTACCAGTGTTTTGAACTCTACATCAGATAGGTTGTCTATCTCCTCGTCGCTTTGCACTTTTTCTGCAGTTTTGATCTGTTTTTTCATTTGGGCCATATTTCTTCGTCTCAGTGCACCTGCTATGTTGTAAGGGGTGGACCCTTAGGTATTCGCTAGGGCAGGGCAACCCTCTTTACTTCATTGTGGCACTGTTTTTGGGGGAGGGTCAGAGGGAACAATGCCACTTGCTGGCTACGCTCTAGCCCCACTTTTTAACAAACTGTCCTGTGAGACTGGGAGTTTCTCCCTCTTTTTTAACCCCCACAGGTTCTACAGCTAGAGGTTTTGAGTGTTTCATTTCCCCTTCAGCAAGCCCAGCCTCACCCACACATCCACTGCTTTGCCACGGGTCATCTCCTCTGGATGTCTGCCCTTCTCCGCCCCTCCTACCAGTCTGGATGAATGTTTAACTCCTCGGTTGTCAGCGTTCCACACAGTTCAACTTTCTGGCAGTTCTGGTTGTTTATTGTTTTTAGATTGGCTCTTATCCTTCTTTTGGTTGTGCATGGAAGCAAAGTGTTTTCACCTACACCTCTATCTTGGGTGTAACTCCAAGTTACATTCTTTATCTAAGTCACTTCTTGGTCCAGAATGGCTGGCTAAATTTTATTATCATCAAATTCTAGGGGAGAAGCAAGAGAAGGAGGGAAAGTGGAAAAAAGCCCAAGTTAGCTGTTCAACCCCTTCTGAGGTACCTTCTCTAGAACCTACATACCTATTTCTGCTTACATTCCTTGGCAATAAATTCTGTCACATGTCCATGGTTTATAGTAAGAGAGTCTGGAAAAATAATATTTTTTGAGAGTTTATATCATCATTCTGAGTGAAACTGAGATTCTGCTAATGAAAAAAAATTCAAAGAGTAGATTTAGCATCAACAACTAAAAGTTCCTTCTGTCTTAGTTATTATAGATATGATACACAGTTGTAAAAAAAAGCATTAATTATATAATAGAAGTCTATATAAGATCAAAAGGGAAAACTTTCTGTGGCAGAGAGAATGTTATGTGTTCACAAAACCTTGTTTCATTCTCCTCCTGAGTCACAGGGAGACTACCTTCCCCAGCCTTTATGGCAGTTTTAGCTAGTTGATTGTGACCAGTAGTAAAATTTGCTAGACCTGGCACCTACCTTCCACGGGATTTTTTAACACCCTTCTTTATAACTTTGGTAGCCAGATGCAAAGAACACGATGGAGGATGTCAGGGCCAAAGAAGATGGTAGAACAATGGAATAGAAGGTTCTACTCTACTCTAGTAGAGAATCATTAAGGGAAAATCATTAAGGGACTCTTAATGATTGCCTTAGAACAGAGAACCTTCCCCCTTTCTGACCGCTTGATGAAGTACATTGAACTTTGACATCAGTAACATAAACTTTTGGGGTTGAACCTCTGATATTTAAGGGTTGTTTATAATATAAAACATTACATGTAATTATTAGACTCCTTATTAATACACTAGCCTAAAGATGATCATCATTATTTATTGGTATTTATTGTTCCAATATTAATGTTTATATAAAGATTGATTTTAAATATATATGTATACATGTATATTACATATTATAGGATACACAGGCATTTTTTCCCCAAATATTTTCATTCCCTAAATTATCACTAAATCACTAAAATTGATTTTCTAAGTTAAACCAGAAATCAAAATTTATTACAAGAGAATTTTAGTAAACAAAATTTGCAAAATTTATTTTAGACCTACATATAACAAAGACATATAATTTTTAAAAAATTAGCTTCCCCACATTGAATTGCTTGAGTGAAAAATACCAACAAAACATCAATATAAGAAGAAGGGATTGGTAATTATGATGCGGGTATGTGAAATATATACTTACTACCAAACCACTGATTTTCAGTCTTTAGTTGGAAGCATCCAAGTTTGTGAAGAAAACCCTGAGACTTTCCTGAAGCATTTAAGAAAAGAAATACATAAAATGAATGACTACCATTCCTAGAAACAGAAAAAATATTATAAAGGAGTAAATTTTTATAAAATAATGTACAGTTTTAGTGCAATCCCAATAAAGATTCTTATCTATTTCAATTCATCTTGACCAGCTGGGTTTTAAATTTACCTGCAGTGGTTAGGTGCCAGATAAGGCAAGGAAAAATATGTCAGGAATATTTTAAACTAGATATTTCTTTTAATAAAGTGATTTGCTACCACTTTTAATCATTAAGTTACACATTTCAAGAGTTTGAATGAAAATTAAACAAATACTTGTTGCCATTTCACTTTTAAGTTCCTTAAAGAACGTTTTCTACCTTTTAACACATCAGTAGTTTAACTTGGCTGTTGTCCCTCCTCTAATTCGGGGGTGGGGGGGCTTTTGTCTTCCCCATCACAGCGAGGAGGCGGAGCATTCTCTGAAGAAGCTTGGAAGCATTCTGGGCCTGGGCAGTCTTGTTAGAAGGACTGTGTTTCATGAGGCTGCTGCTTACAAAAAGCTTCAAGGTAATGACTGTTTTAAATCTAGCTATTTTCCAGGGACTTCCCAGGGCCCTAGAGTAAAGATGAGAAAAATAGTAATGGTGGTCTTGGAGGGGGTGAAAAGGTTGTGTGGTTTTGAAAGAATTGCTGGTATTTTAAAGGAATAAATCCTTTAGAATTTCTGTGTCTCCCAATACTTTAAAAGTCCGCAGTGGGAAAACGGATGATCAGATTACAGCCTCTATATTAAGATTTCAGTGCAGTACAGCCATTCATGCTAATATATTGACTTGGCATTCCATGTTTATGTTGCTAGAATTTTGTTACTGTTTGAACAAATTTACATAGAAAACGATGGATAAAATATTTGACAGCAAGGGGAAGAATGCTTATAATTTGATTGTCACACAGAAAGACTATGTGTCACCGTTATATGAACATAGAAAGAGAAACAAATATGTAGTTTACTGAAGATACTTGTACATACACATGCATATATATGTGTGTATACACACACACACACACACACACACACACACACATATATATAGAGGGGGGAGAGAGAGAGAGAGAGAGAGAGAGAGAGAGAGAAACCCTGGGAGACAATAAACTCCCATGTTAGCATTTCCAAGTGACCAGGTTACTAGTATTATAATACTACTTTTTAGCCTATTTAAGCATCTTTAGAGTAGATTTTTCCATGATTATTTTTATAATCATGAAAGAAAAATGAACGTGAAACAACATACCCATTTTGTTTAAAACACATAGCATTCATAGATATACACAGATGTGCAAACATCTTCCTTTTGTTTTTTTGCTGATAATGGACATTTTCTAGGATTTGATCAGGTATGTAGCCTGGTTGCTGTGTTGGCTACAGTCCCTGTATGCCCTCCTTGCAGCTGATTCTTTCAGACAACAGGTATGGTAGTCATCAGGAAGAACCAGTTTTCTATATCTTTTAATAGTGAAATAGAGAAAGAATTGGATTTATTTCTACAAGCAGTTTTTAAAGTATTATATGAATGCTGTAACCACATAGTATAATATTACTTATCTGGAGAATAAATATATGTAGTGATTGGAAAATAAATGTGTATTTTGTAGTAAAACATGTATGCTACTACAATACATGCACCCAAATCTGGGAGAACATATATGTTGCACTATTAAAAGGGTCATTTTTGTAGTAAGAGAGACAGGGCTAGCTTTATTGTTCTTTATTTAAAATAGTATTAATATACAATTATTTATATACTTAGTTTATATCATCAGGGAAAATATTGAGATAAAATATTGTAAATGTGGGAAAAATACATTAAAATAATTCATAAAAATCATGTGGAAAATATTTATGTAGATTGATGTAGACTGATCTTCAAACTGTGTCCCCAATTGAGATCTTATGTTGGTTTGAAAAGATTCATCCCTACATGTAAAACAAAATTTTGGAAATATAGAAAACATTCATAGTGATTATATGTACAGTTGTACTTTATTTTGTATGTATCTCTCTGTATATTTTGAATTTTTAATAAGCTTCTGTGTATTTTTATAATTAGAAACATTGTAATTGGAGACAATATGATCTTGTTATAATCCTACAAAGTAAAACCCTTGAGCTTAGAATAGAAAATTGTAGAAGCCTTGGAAGGCTTCTGTCTGCATAAATGTAGTGCCTAAGCTTCACATTAAAAAGATCAGATCATGATCCAGTCCTGCCTATACTTCCTGGGGAAGCTGCAGTTTTATTTCTGGTCACAAGATGGGGCTTGCTATGTTTACTAAATTTTCTCAAGGCAACCATATTTTTATGAAAATGGTAAGCAAAACAATGAAATATATTTTTGTGTTAGTGGGCTGTGAGACAGTATCTAAAGTATTATTAAATTACAATAAAAGTATATGTGCTAAGAAGGAAAAATGTACACAGCAATTGATGTGAGAATTCAAACAATATCTACAGTCTGGCTCATAGTAGTCACAAGGAATTTTGCTATTTCCCTTCTCCCTTGTCCCCACTTCACACTTTTCCAATTTGAGAGATGATTCCATCATGAACCAAACAGAATAATTGTGTCACAGAGAAAATTTAAAAAAAAATAAGGAAAATAAACATGGCATCTACATAACAGATGGGATTTCATCTCATTCCTGTGTTTCAGAATGACATACCTTCTAAAGTTTTGGTAAAGAAGTTTCTTTATGTTTTTTTCCATTCATTTGTTTTGAATTCCTATCTCCTTTTATATAGCCTTTCTCCTTCTGAAGTGAAAATCAAGACAACTAGATCAAAGGACCCAATCTTCTGTGATCCACGTAATACTGGGTAAGGCTCATTACATTTCATATTAAAAACTTTTTTGAGAACTTGAGCTGTAATTTATTTTCCTTCCTTCTCTGCAGCCACAGCATTTTAAATTAGAATCCTCAGTTCATACTAAAACTGTGTTAGACTGAACATTTGAGGTATAATTCATTTTGCTCCCTATTTAGTAGCCATAACATTTTGTAATTAAAAGTCATCACTTCTAGTTTGGGAAAAGAATCTCATATGTTAAACCACTATGAAGAAATTGTGCAAGAGGCTATTCAGGTTTCTACCTGAGTTCTTAGCCACCCGACTCTCAAGAAATCTTTGATAACTATCCTATTCAATGACTTAACATAGCATACATTCTGAATCTCTGCCTTCTAAACTCATGCTTTTAAGAAGGTCATTGTGTTATTGTTGGGGTCCAGAAGATGCACAGCTTATTATCTTGGTCTGCCTGCTTCAGGTATACAAGAAAATGTTTATAGCTTAAAAATTATAAATTATATAAATTATGGAACAGTGCTTATCAAGTTCTTGGACAAGTTACAATAAAATCACTCGAGAACTTAGAAGTACAAAATGTTGGATCTTATCTAGACCTTCTGGATAATACTCTCAGGATAAGACCTAGAAATATAGTTTTATGAAGGCCTTTAGATAATCCTGAAGTATGCAAAGTTTAGGATCCCCCTGCCTTAGGTATAAAGTTGGAAACACAAATGCCCCAAACTACCTAATAGCATAGAATCCCTGACACACCACTGCAAACTTTCACACCTCTATCAGCATGTACACTAACTCAATCCTTAATAATCATGTGCAGTAGTAAGGGCAAGTTCTTGAATTTGAGGTATTATAAACCACTTCTTCAGTTCCTACCCTCACCTTACATTATGCTACATTTTCCCCTCCATCTCATGCCCCACTGACTATTATTCTTTCTTTTATCTCATCTCTATTTATAATCACTCACCTTCTGCATTGGCAAAATAACTATTTGCTGATAATTTTCTTCTTTTCCTTTTTTTTAATTTTAGTATCTTCCATATCAACCCATATAAACAACAAGATCAAGCATCCTTGGGGAAATCTACTTGGAAGAGAACAGGATACAAGCTGTAAATACTTTGTAGTTCTGAGACAAAGGAGATTTTGGTGAGAGTATTGTTTTTGGTAGGAACAGCCTTAGCAGTGAGAAGAATAGCCATACACCTCAGTGTCTGATAATCTTTTAGCACACAAATCTAAATCACAAATGGATGATGAGTATGTATTATGCAATTGGAAAGACCAGTTCTGGCCAGCAAAAGTTTTGTCCAGGTCTGAGACTTCATCAAACAGTAAGAGAAAAAAGACATTTTCCCTAGAAGTTCAAATACTCTCACTAGGTGAGAAAATTAAAGTGGAAAGCACAGAAACAAAAATCCTAAATAAATCTCAAATTGAAGCCATTGCCTCCTCATTAGCAGCACAGTCAGAGGGCAATTCTTCACCTAGAGAGGAAACAGCCTATGAAAGGTCACTAAAAGTGGCACTGTGTATTCTGAATGAGAGAACAAATTTGAATCAAGCAAGCAGTTCAGATGAAGAAGAGACTACTACACTGTCTCAACATGTACCACAAAAGCTTTCTTATTTACCCCCTCATAAAAAATATCGGAAGCATAAAGGATACTTATCAAAGTATATTGAGGGAAGTGAAAATCAAACATCCCTATTAGTATCTTCAGAGAGTGATGACTCCCTGTATGATGAAAAACCACAGGTGTGTGCAGCCATTGATACTATTCCAAATGAGATGGAAACAAAGTTATCACCAAACTCCAGCTGGTGCCAAACATTCCCTTCAATTTCAGAAGAAGATGAAAAGGAGGACAAAAAAAATATTGACATCATGTCTTTGCATTCCACAATCAAAGAAGAAGATGCTTATGTTAAGGAAGAGAAGTTCACTCCAACTTCACCATCAAATAGCTTAATTGTGCCCAAAGCTTTGAAAGAGGAGCCAGAGGACATCTGCCCAGAAACCCTGGCTCTTTCCCCTGAATTCTCTACTTTCTCAGAGAATATTGACGATCCTGGAGAGGGTCCCTCAAATTCATGCTTAAATACCAGTCAGAATCAACTTGTGGAATCAGAGATGGGTGTTGTGGTGTCCCCACAGCATTATTCATGGGAATGTCAGCTTTCATATAGTCCTAACTGTGTCACCGATTCTTCACTTACTGGGAATAATGAAAGAAGTCTCCAGAGTGTGGATTTTGAGGAACATGGGGAAGAAGTTCAAGCTTCCAATAAGTCAGTACCTCTAAATCCTATTGATACTTCTGTATATGATGATGATGATGAAGATGAAGTACTTCCACGCCTTGTTTTTAATTATGAACCACGTTCATTTGAAACAGGTATGATAGTTTGGTTTAAATATAAAAAATACCCATTTTGGCCAGCAGTGGTGAAAAGCATCAGGCGAAAAGAGAAAAAAGCGAGTGTGCTTTTTGTTGAGGCAAACATGAATCCTGAAAAGAGAGGCATTAGAGTGCCTTTGAGAAGATTAAAGAAATTTGACTGTAAAGAGAAACAAACACTAGTGGAGAAAGCCAAGGAGGATTACAGTGAAAGTATTGACTGGTGCATCTCACTGATTTGTGACTACAGAGTTAGAATAGGTTGTGGTTCTTTTACAGGCTCTTTCCTTGAGTATTATGCTGCTGACATTAGTTATCCAATAAGAAAAGTAATCAAACAAGATACCTTCAGGAACTTATTTCCAAAGCTGCATAATGAAGATTCTATGGAACCAATGGCCATGACTTCCCAGACCAAGAAAATGTCCTTCCAAAAAATTCTCCCTGACCGAATGAAGGCAGCTCGGGATCGAGCCAACAAGAACTTAGTGGACTTCATTGTGAATGCAAAAGGAACAGAGAACCATCTTCTATCCATTTTAAATGGCACAAAAGGGTCCAGGTGGTTGAAATCATTTTTGAAAGCAAAGAGGTTCACTCCCTGTATTGAAACATACTTTGAGGACGAAGATCAGTTGGATGAGGTGGTGAAATATTTACAAGAAGTCTACAAACAAATAGATGAAAGAATGCTGGCTCTGATAAGAGATGATAAAATTAAATTTATCCTAGAAGTTCTTCTTCCAGAAGCAATCATTTGTTCAATTTCTGCTGTTGATGGTTTGGATTACAAGGCAGCAGAAGCAAAGTATCTAAAAGGACCATCTCTAGGATATAGGGAAAGAGAGTTATTTGATGCCAAAATCATATTTGAAAAGAGACGGAAACCATCAACAAAAGCTCACTAAATTACCTAAGCATCCAAATCATAACAGGGAGATTTTATAGATACTAATTTTTAAAAAATCTCTCTAACATATGTTTTCCAGAAATGAGCAACTTTATGTAATATATTCACTTTTTTCAGTCTCTGTGATCTGTGAATATTACTACATTAACATTTTCTTTCTCACACTTCTTCAACGTCCATTTTACTGACAAATTTCAGCAGCTCTAATGTCTCATACATTTCTAGAATTCATAATGCCTAGATAATTTTTAAGGGAAAGCACTATTTTGTTTTCTTGACATATTTTTGTCTATGCTGTATAGTTAAATACAGTGCACAATCATTTACATAGTAAAATTGCACTAGTATTAGATATTAAGCAAGATAATTACAAAAAGTCTAAGAAAATTTGAGTATATATTTTTGCTCAGTTTTTATAAAATATTGGGTTTCTCTTAAGATAGTTGAATTATTTTTCCTGCCATGTCTATTTATTTTTGAAGAAAAAGTTTCTGAGATGTAGAACCAAAGATGGAGATGCTTTGCTATATATTATAACTAGCTGTAATTGTTTTTGCAAGAAAACAATCTGGAATTGAAAAATAAAGTAAACGGATTACCTGCATGCCATCTATATGTTTGAGAATAACATCTCATCATGCAGAAAATAATATTGGCAACCTGGAACAGGATTGTTCATTCTACACTTCCCTGAAATTCCATTTATGGAGTGTCTGTTATTCAACAGCTGAACAGTTTCTTAAAACAGACAGGCTTTTGGCTGTCTTTATAACTAACAGTGACTGTATCTTAATACAACCATCTGACCACATGTGGAAAGCAGCTATTGTCATTGTATTCATAGTCTGGCTACTCTAGATTATGAGTCCAGACTGACTGCTTAAGGCGTCCATCTAGTTTGATATAAATTGTAGAGAATGAAAGCACTTTGTTCTGAGTATTGTATCTCTAAATACATAGTCATTTGTTTCAAACCAAGCAATTTGTATCATATGATTTATTCATAGAATAGTTCAGTTGGTTCCAATACTATAAATGCCAGGTGGTAAGTCATTCCAGGCTTAACAAAAAGTAGATGGACCAGAATCTGTGAATTTGGAAATGGGTCATAGAAAAAGCCTCCATTTGGTTAAGTATGACAATTATTCAAATTTATTTAAAAGTAAAAGTCTGAAACCAACGAATAGCTTATTCTAACTTCAAATAAGACTAGTAAAAATAAATGCTTTAAGGGCTACTTTATTCTCAAAACTTGACATAAAAATAAACACTAAAAGCTTAACATGAACCTGACTGCATTTTTACTCTTAGAGTGAGACAGCTGTTACTCTTGGCTTTTATCTGTTCACATGGCCACATGTTTATGTAAAATTTGCAAAAGTTTGAGGTTTTGATTTGTAATAAAACCATTATGTCTTTCACTTTAGATGTGCACTTCATTATATTTCAAACTGTGTAGTTACATAACTGGTGTTTCTCTTATTGGAATTTTTGCTTGTTGTAGTTGTCATCATTTTAAGGCTTGTTATACATTATCTTATCATTCTAAATAAATATTCACTTTAATGGTTGATTTTGCATTACTTTAAAAGAAAGCCTTCCAAATTGTATAAGTTTTATATTCCATATGATCTCACCTTTAACTACAACCAAATCAACAAAATGAACTAGCAAGAAAAATATAACCAGAGACATTGAAATTAGGAACAATCTGACAGTAACCAGAGGGGCTGTGGGAGGGGATAATGGGGGGAAGAGGCGAAGGTTTCCAGGAACAACTATAAAGGACACATGGACAAAACCAAGAGGGGGTGGAAGCAAAGGAAGGAGGTGGGGATGGCTGGGGTGGGGGGGGAGTTGTGGGGAGTAAATGCAGACAACTGTAATTGAACAATAAAATAACAACAACAACAACAATAATAATAAAGATCCACATGGCCTTGTCTTGGTCTGCCTGACAAAAAACAAGAATCTTTTAGTACACAGCCTTTACCAGTCTTTATAGCTTCCTCATGATTTTGAGGAGTGTTTGACAACAGACCATCACCACACCGTAGGAGGATCTCATACCCTGGGAAAACACACTGTATTTACTCTATAACATTCTGTCCCTTTGATCCAATATATTTACTACCTTCAGTTTTCTCTTTAAACCCATTTCTATCTCTTGGTTTTGATGTTACTTTTTAAAAAATATATTTTATTGATTATGCTATTACAGTTGTCCCATTTTCCCCCTTCACTCCCCTACACCCTGCACACCCTCTCCCACCCACATTCCCCCACTTTAGTTCATGTCCACGTATCATAAGTTCTTGGCTTCTACATTTCCCATAATATTCTTACCCTCCTCTTGTCTATTTTCTACCTACCATCTATGCTCCTTATTCTCTGTACCTTTTACCCCTCTTTCCTCCTCCCTCTCCCCTGTTGACAACCCTCCACGTGATCTCTATTTCTGTGGTCCTATTCCTGTTCTAGTTGTTTGCTTAGTTTGCTTTTGTTTTTATTTTACATGTCATCGTTAATAATTGTAAGTTCGTTGTCATTTTACTGTACATGCTTTTTATCTTCTTTTTCTTAGATAAGTACTTTTAATATTTCATCTCCTTTAACATGACCTTATCTGAGAAGCACTTTATCTGCCTTTCTATTCTAAATGAAAGCTTTGCTAGATAGAGCAATCTTGGATGTAGGTCCTTGCTTTTCCTGACTTGGAATACTTCTTTCCAGCCCCTTCTTGCCTGCAAGGTCTCCTTTGAGAAATCAGCTGACAGTCTGATGGGTATAACTTTGTAGGTAACTCTCTCCTTTTGTCTTGCTGCTTCAAAGATTCTCTCCTTATCTTTAATCTTGGCTAATGTAATTATGATGTGCCTTGGTGTGTTCCTCCTTGAGTTCAACTTCTTTGGGACTCTGTGAGATTCCTGGACTTCCTGGTAGTCTATTTCCTTTGCCAAAATGGGGAAGTTCTCCATCATTATTTGTTCAAATAACTTTTTCCAGTTGTTGCTCTTCCTCTTCTCCTTCTGGTACCCCTGTAATTTGGATGTTGGAATGTTTAAGGATGTCCTGGGTATTCCTAAGCCTCTCCTCATTTTTTTGAACTCTTGTTTCTTCATTCTTTTCTGATTGGATGTTTCTTTCTTCCTTCTGGTCCACACCATTGACTTGAGTCCCAGTTCCCTTCCCATCACTATTGGTTCCTCATACATTTTCCTTTATTTCACTTAGCATAGCGTTCACTTTTTTCATTTAATTTGAGCCCAAATTCAACAAAGTCTGTGAGCATCCTGATTGCCAGTGTTTTGAACTATGCATCTGGTAGGTTGGCTGTCTCTTCATCTCTTAGTTTTAGTTTTTCTGGAGCTTTCATCTGTTCTTTCGTTTGGACCATTTTATTTGTCTTGATGTGCCTGTTACATAGTGTGGTCAGAGCCCTAGGTGTTCACCAGGGCAGGGCAACTGAGGTCGCTGAGTTGTGATGCTGTATGTGGGGCAGGGGTCCCAGAGGGAACAATGGCACTTGCTCCACTCTCTGCCAGATTTCAGTCCCCTCTTCTGCTTCCCACAAGCAAATTGGGCCCTTCTGGTGCTGATTCCCATGTGGGTGGGTTTGTGTACATTCTGGGACCCTATGGATCTCTCCAATGAACTCTCCTGTGAGGCTGGGAGTTTCTTCGGGCATCTCAACCCTCACAGGTGTTTTCAATCAATGTTTTGAGGCTTTATTTCCCCAAGTTGGGACCCTGGGATGCGTGGTCTGTCTCCCTCCCAGTTTCGCCTGGTTTATCTGCATGTGAATGTGGGACTGGACATGCCATGCCCCTCTATGATCTGCCACATTGCTGGGTCTTCCAGGCACCCTGCCTCAAGCCCTGTCTGTCCCTGCTTCCCGACTGCTCCTCCTTACTGGTCTGGTTAGATATTTCTTCTTTAACTCCTCGGTTGTTGGACTTCCATACAGTCCAGTTTTCTGTCAGTACTGGTTGTTTTTTGTTTTTAAATTGTTGTTGTCCTTATTTTGATTGTGGGAACAGGCACAGTGTGTCTACCTATGCCTCCATCTTGGCTGGAAGTCTGATGTTGCTTTTTCTAAAAATATATTTTAATTATGCTATTACAGTCATCCCATTTTTTTTCTCCTCATTATTCCTCTCCACCCTCTACCCACCTCCTACCAGCATTTCCCCACCTTAGATCATGTCAATGGGTCGTACATATAACTTCTTTGACTTCTCCATTTCCCATACTATTCTTAACCTCCCCCTGTCCATTGTGTACCTGCCATTCATGCTTCTTAGTCCCTGTACCTTTTCTTCCATTCTCCTCTCTCCCCTTTCTCTGCTGATAACCCTCCATGTGATCTCTATTTCTGTGATTCTGTTCCTGTTCTAGTTGTTTGCCTAGTTTGTTTTTATTTTTTTTTTATGTTCAGTTGTTGATAGTTGTGAGTTTGCTGTCACTTTACTGTTCATATTTTTTATCTTCTTTTTTGGGTAAGCCCCTTTTTCATATAATAAGGGCTTGGTGATGATGAACTCCTTTAACTTGACCTTATATGGGAAGCACTTTGTCCTTCCATTCTAAATGACAGCTTTGCAGGATAGAGTACTGTTGGGTGTAAGTCCTTGCCTTTCATGACTTTGAATACATTGATCCCTCACCTGTAGTGGGAGTTACATTCCAGAGACCCCCGCGATAGGTGAAAATCCATGAAGTAGTGGTGTTATATTTATTTTATTTTTCATATACATTTTAAGGCTTTATAAACCCTTCCCACACTCCTATAAACCTTCCCCACTCTCTTATTAACCTTTCCCACAGTCTTGGAAACACATCATATGCTCTTAAACACTTTCTACACTCTTAAACCTACGTAATTTTAACAACATATAAAATTTTATATGGGTACTCACCAGCAAAGTGTACTACAACTTGAATGATGAAGATCATGAATTATGTAGCTGTGCAGTACTGATGGCGAGGAAGGTGATGATGAGATGAATGTACTGCACAACCAAGAAGAGCATTACAGCTCTTCTGAAGGCACCACTTCATCAGATGCTTCATCAGGTGGTGCAGTATCTTCGCCGTGGGCTGTAACTTCTATTTCTGCTAAAGGCATAGGCGTAACTGATCTTTTCATTCAAGTGATGAACATAGTTATGGGAAGTTGCTGGCACTGCTTTTTATCCACAGAGGCAACTTCTCTATGCAGAGAAATGCTCTTGAGTCCAAAGCATCTCTGAAATTTGTCAAGTCAGCCCTTGTTGGCACTGAATGGGGTCGGTTTGGTGGGAGAAGTACTGGATAGTCCTGCTTCTGCATTGCGGTCCTCTTCATCCTCATCATTGTCGTGAGCAACCATGCTTTCCACAAAACTATCATAAAGTTTCTTGGCCTTTGTCCAGATGGTGTTGGTATCCACCGAGATATTCTTCTTCCTGCAGTCATTTATCCACAGGGCCATTGCAGACTCCATCCTCACAATGGCCTTATTTTGGGAAGTGACCACCCTCTTTGCAGTCTTGTTAAAAATCATTGCTGCCGTAGACCTAATATTCTTCTCATCTTTCTTTATGTAGAGAACAGTAGATTTGTTGATCCCATAATGGTAGCCTACAGCCATGTAGCTTTTGCCTTCCTTTAACATGTTGAGAAGTTCCAGCTTTTCTTTGATAGTAAGCATATTCCTCTGGCACTTGCGTTCACTGTCAGAAGCCTCAGAAGGCACAGAACATTTGGGTGGCATTGTAGGGATTGAAATAAATTCAAACTTTTACAAAAACTTCACAAAAACACAACACCACAGAGCAACACTATGCACAGTGATCAGACGGTGATGTGAAGTGGACAAGGAGGGATGCTGAACATATGAGCACAGTGCAGGAGAGCAAACAGGCCAATACTATGGTCACTGAGCCAATCAGTGCCCAGGATACAGAACACAGTGCTGTGGTTGGTTGCCTCCCATTCCATGAGCCAATAGTGTGCCATGTACAATCTCACATTTGCAAACTTGCACAAGCAGTAGTGGCGTACTGCATTTCCATTGTGTACAGTACAGTATTTATCTGCTGATGAAATTCATACTGTATTTTATTTATATTTAATATTATTTTAATATGTTTGAATTAATGTTTTTGTATTTGTATATTGTTTAAAAATTTTAGGCAAAAATAATTAAAATAACAAATATTATATAAATACCTATATACCACAAAATTCTATGATATAGCAAAAACTCCGTGATACAGAATTAGATATATATATATTTTTAAAAACCCATGATACAGTGAAGCTGCAATAAGTGAACCTCAATATAGTGAGGGGCGACTATGTTGCGTGGGTCCCCGGCCAGCAGTGACCACGGAACACTGCCGATGGCTCAACGATAAACACGCGAGAAAAAACGACATGCACAGAGACAGATTAGTTTCTGTGGGGAAGTAGGGATGAAATGGCCACCCCCCCTA